AGACCTCATCTCAACCAAAAAAACTTTTTAAAAATTAGCTGTGCATGGTGGCACACACCTATAGTGCCAGCTACTCGAGAGGTTGAGGCAGAAGGATCACCTGAGCCCAGGCCATCGAGGCTGTGGTGAGCCATGATCGTGCTGCTACATTCCAGTCTGGGCAACAGAGTGAGACTGCCGACACAAAAAATAAAAATAAAAAATCTGAACAGGGGGATGTGATCGAGGTGACATAGCTCAGTTTGTCTGCATAGGGACTAGTCCTTACAGGAAGAGATGTCTTTCAAACTTCCTTTACACCCAAAGTAGGAAACCCTGGGAAATAACCATGCTAGTTTGGCTCCTGGAACACACCTCACACAGAGCAGGCATCTAACGAATATTCGTTAACTGAATGCAGTTTCAGAACACATTGGGAACTGTAAAGTACAACACTGGAGACCTTTACAAGGGGCAGTAGCTATTAATTTTGCTTGCCTTCCTACCAGAAGGTCAAACTTCAACCACCCAGTGCTACACTGAAAATTGTTCACAGTAAAACCAAATCAACCAAACAATAAAACCACAATAATGTACTTATGACATGACAGACATGCACATTGCAGGTCATATCTCCATCTCTTCCTCTCACAGTGGCTTGACATGGAAATTCTTTTCTAGTTCTCGCCAATTGATATTTAATTTGAAAGCGTGCTTTGAGAATCCAAATACATCAGTTCTTTGGTGTAAATTAGGTTCTTTCCTCACCTTTGTTTCCATCATTCAGACAAGAAATGATCATCCATAGTAGTTCCTGCTATTTTCCATTCTGACTAGCAGTAAAACATCAGGATGGATGTAGCAGGTGGGAAGATTTTCTGTCATCTTCTCTGCATTGAGCAGAAAAGACCTTATCAAAGATGGGTGCAGGTGAGGAAAATAATAGCAATAATAAAGGTGGTCATGGACAAATGAAAACTAGTTAATTGTCCATACAATTTCCAAGAAACTGACCTGTGACCCAGACAGCAAGTAACCCACCATGCATGAATGGAATACAATATAAACAGAATCCTGAATGACCACAAACATATTTAATAACAAATATCTCTAACAATCATGTGAGCTCCAGAACACATCAGAAAATAATGGACAATTACTTATTCACACATTTTAGACAGCAAGTAAAGATGAAACGATTTGGGAAGTAATGTTTTTCACACCTGCATTGGATGTTATGTAAGAAAGCATTTTGTATGCCTAGGATCTCAAGTGACGAAGTCATCTCACTGAACTCTGAGGTAAAGAAACATTCTCTCCTCTTTAGTGGCAAAGAGGGCTCTCTCTTTAAGGTGATTTCTTTAAGGTTACTTGCATGGAGTGATACAGCACTGACATTTTTGGAGTTTGGGATTTCCCTTGGGATTTGAAGAGGGTGATGCCAAGTCTACCTTTTTCTTGGCACCTATGAGGAAAGCCCCCTCCTCCTGGTGAGATATGTGCCCAGCAAGAGAGCACAGGCACTTCCTCCTCCCCGAGGATGCATGCACAGCTGGTGTGGCGAGATCATGGGATTTTCTTTAAAAAGATGAAGAGCCGGGTGTGGTGCCTCACGTCTGTAATCCCAGCACTTTGGGAGGCCAGGGTGAGAGGATTGCCTGAGCCGAGGAGTTCGAGACCAGCCTGGGCAACACAGCAAGACCTCATCGCTACAATAAATGAAAAAATTAGCTGGGCATAGTGGCACACGCCTGTAGTTCCAGCCACTTGGAAGGCTAAAGCGGAGGGATCGCCTGAGCCCAGCAGGTCAAGGCTGCAGTGTCCATGAGTGTGCCACTGCATTCCAGCCTGACTGACAGAGTGAGATTCCAACTCAAAAAACAATAAAAAATAAATAAAAATATTAAGAATCTTTCCTTTTGTGATCTCTATATTGCTAGATCTAAATTTTAAACAAAACTTCTATGATCTGGATTGTAGCTATGACCATTCACTCGCTCTCAGTCAGGCTAGAGGGCAGTGGCACGACCACAGGTCACTGCAGACACAACCTCCTGGGCTCAGGTGATCCTCCCACTTCAGCCTCCCGAGTAGCTGGGACTACAGGCATGCACCACCATATCCTGCTAATTTAAAAAAATTTTTTTGTAGGTCTTGCTATATTTCCTAGGCTGGTCTTGAACTCTTGGGCTAAAGCAATCCTCTTGCCTTGGCCTCCCAAAGTGCTGGGACTGCAGGTGTGAGTCACCGTGCTGGGTCAGACCACTTTTT